GTCAACTGCATGGGAGTCCAACAACATAGCCATTACGCTAACTGCTGGTCCGGCCACAGTTGACTTCTGAAGGTGGGAGGCCTTAGAGCCACAGCAGCGGCATAATGTGTGCGTCTTATTGTGACGCTTCCCAAACGATGACTTAGTCATCTCGCTTCTGTCAAGACCCTTTCCTAAATACACTTACAGGGCCAGCCTGTGGTGTGGTGATTAAGGCAGCAGGATCCCACATGACTGACGGTGCAGTTCGAATCCTGGATCCAGCAGCTTGAGAAACACCCCAGATACATATACCTGCATATCCAAAATTCTGAAAGGAGAATGGAGAAGGGATTATGGTATAGTCATCCACTCGGGGGAGTGGGTGGCATTGTTTTTTCACTTTCTTTCTCTCTCTCTCTCTCCAGCAAGTGCACATGCTCTATAGTAAATTGAAAACAAACAAAGACCAGCAGTTGGCGTAATGGCTATGTCACTGGACTCCCATGTAGTTGACCACAGTTCAAGTCCTGGACGCGGTGGCTTAAATTCATGCCAGGTGCGTATGCGTGTGTGTCCAAGATCCCCAGAGGAGAGTAGAGGAGAAGAGATTGCGGCATGGCCACTCCCCTGGGGGGTGATTTCTCACTTTCTGTCTCTCTGTTTTTCTGGTAAGCACATGTGCCCTATAACAATAAACCTCTCAAAACAAACAAACAAACAAACCATACATAAGGTTATATTCGTAGGTTCCAGGGGTTAGGACGTGGACATTATTTTTGGAGGGCCACGTTCAACCCACTACATTCCTTAATCAGTTTTACTATGTTGACTACATGGTATTAATTTGCTAGGGCTGTCTTAACAAAATGCCATAGACTGGCTGGCTTGAACAGGAGTCTGTTCACAGTAAACGCACAGGTCAGGAGGTAGGGAGTCCAAGATGAAGGTGCCAACAGGGTTGGTGTCCTCTAAGGCTCCTCTCTCTCGCTGGCAGCTGGCTGCCCTCCCGCTGCCTCCTCACATGCCTTCTCTGCGCCCTGTCGGTATCACTGTGTATCCACATTTCCATTTCTTATAAAGAACTATCGGCATCGCTGTGTATCCACATTTCCATTTCTTATAAAGACAACAGTTAGACTGGATTTGGGCCCATCCTCACAGCCTCATTTACCTTAATTACTGCTTTTTATTCCTTTCCTTTTTTTTTTTTTTTTTTTTTTTTTTGAGAGGTTTTTGCTATAGGGCGCATGAGGTCACCAGAAAGAGAGAAAGAGAGAAAGCAAGAAATCACCCCCTGGGGGGATGGCCACACTGCAATCTCTTCTCCTCCATTCTTCTCTTGGGATCTTGGGCACGCATGCACATGCGCCCATGAGTTTAAGCCACCGGGTCTGGGACTCAAACTGCTGTAGACTACATGGGAGTCCAGTGACATAGCCATTACACCATCTGCTGGTCCCCACCGTAATTACCTCTTGAAGGTGCTGTTTCCAAATACAATCACATTCTGATGTACTGGGTGGTTAGGGCTTCAGCACAGGGAGACCAGATTTCATTATAACACATGGTAAAATGGTATTTGGGTTATGTTAGGGTAAATGCAATGTGTCATTAAAATTTAAAAAGGAAGGGCAGAGACATCCGAAATGCACTTTGATTCCACAATTTGTCCAGGATCTGCCCTGAAGTCTCCCACTGACCATGTACTCTGCCAACCCTGGCCAGGACAAGGGCTTGCAATGGGAATCCTTGGACCTGAGTTCTCTGGATGGTTTGAGGGAGCACCTGGAGGAAATAGACCAAGAAGAAAGCCTTAGCAGTGGTGTCACTGAGGGACTTTCGAGGCCAGTAAAAAAAAAGATACCTGTCAATTTCAGTAACTCAAATAGCTGTTATATCACCACAGTCCCCCACTCCAATCTCTGCACGTCTCCAGCTAAGACTGATCTGAGCAGTGTCTTTAAAGAAACCAGGGGCAGGGCCTGTTCAGCATGTATCTAAGAGGAGAGAGTGGCCACAGAGGTGAGATGTTTGTGTCCACGGCCATCAGGAGGAGGCGTGTGGAACCACAGGTGACCATGACAGCGCTGAGAGTTTGCAAAGATCTTTGGGAGGAGGGCATCCAACTTCCCACAGGATCTGATAAGGGGCTTGGGCTAATTCTATTTAAATCTCAGAGGCCAGGGTGACGTAAGCTGACATCTGGGCTGCACTTGTTATCAAGGAGTTGAAATGAAGACACAGGAGGCATGCTTATCAAATTTGTGGAGGACAGGAAGCTGAAAGAAACAGCAACTGCGTAATTAGAATCTACAAAAGTCTCAATAAGCTTGAATGCAGTCTGGATTTAATAAAAGAAACTTAATGAGGAGGAAGGGAATGTCCTGCACTTGAGATGAAAATAAATAAATAAAACAAAACAAACTGTGCACAACACATGGGAAAGAGATGGGTTTGATTCAGATGAGGACACCCCAGAAACACATGGCTCGGAAGCTGTTCTGATAAAAAAAAGTGGGAAGCAAAGGAGGGTGTGGAACACTGGTTTCATTCTTCCTGGGGAGACTCCCAGGGTATCATTCTGGGTCTGCCCTCTGCCCGTGGGAGGATGCAAACCAGGGTGCGTTCAGAGAATGAATGACGGTGTGATCACAGAGCCCCACGCAGCAGAGTGCAGGGACGTGCTGTGTGACTGGGAAGGAGAGCATGAAAATTCTCCACAAATATCTAAACTTTTGCCCCATGGAGGACTGAGCTCACCAGTCCTCACAGATGGCTCGAAGGAGTGAAGTCGGGACTGTGGATGCAAGCTTCAGGGAGAAACTTGAGCAACGTATCATGAAGACAGCAAATGTACCCATTAGTACTGGTTTAGCTGTAATGGAAGATCTGATTAATGATAATAGTAATAATAATAAATTTTCTGCAATTTAGAAAGAAACTTAGAAGTAGCCTGTTGTTAAAGAGCCAGGCTTTTCTCAGCTTTCCTTACCACCCTCATAGTGTTGTCCTTATCTTTCTATCTGTGCCTCATGGTTGCAAGATGGCTGCTGAAGCTCTCTACCAGCATAAATCTGCACTTAAAGTGATGGAGGATGACAGTGAGGAGGTCGATGATATAGCAAAGAGGACACTTTCCTTTTGTCAGAAAAGGAAATCTTTTCTCAGATGCCTTTGTATGCTCATTGGCCATCCTGGGTTATGGCCAATTTTAGCTGCAAAAGAGATCAGAAAAGGATATTTGGCATTTCCTATGTAATGAGAGGTTGGTAAGGGATAAGGGGATGAATTTTTTTAGTAGACCCAGTGCTTGTGATGAGAAAATCACCTATGATTTAATTAGCAATAGATTGTCTTAGTCTTTTTATTGCAAATATACATGTGTTCAGATAATTATTCTAAAATTTCATAGAAAAATAAAATACAAATTTATTTTGGTACAAAATAATTTAGAAATCTTTACATAGTTTCTTTCATAATACACATGTTTCATGGATTTCTGGAAGACCCCCTCATTTAAACACATATGCCACATATAAGATTTCACAGGTATGGGATTGTGTTGTAAATAGTGTTAGTTCCTGCTTTTCTCACTAAGCATTTTGAGTATCTCTCCCTTTTTTATAGGTCATGTGTGCTCACCACAAAGAAACAGAGAGAGGGAAAGTAGAAAGCACCCTTCAGAGAGGATGGCTACACAGCAATCCCTTCTCCATTCTCCTCTTGGGATTTTGGGCACACATGCGCACACATATACATAGTCAGCCATCTGGGCTTCAATTCCTTAACCAGCATGCCACTGACTGCCCTGAGTATCTCTTTTTAAGTTTTTTTTTTTCTTTAATTACCAGAGAGAGAAATCACCCCCACCCTCAGTGGGACATGGCCATGCCTCAATCCTTTCCCCCCTAATTCTCCATCCCATTAAGATTTGGGGCTCACACACACATGTGCCCAGTGTGTTTCTCAAGTCACCAGGGATGGGATTCAAACCACGGTCAGCCACATGGGATCTGGCTCCCAATGCACTGAATGTAACCATTATGCTATGGGGCTGGCCCACATTTTGAGTATCTTTATATACAATTTTCAAATTCTTTGAAAATATAATTTTCAGCAGTTACATAATACCCCACACAATATCCCACATTCAACCATTTCCATACATTTGGACATGTAGGTTATTTCCAGTTGAGTAGAAGAACTTCCTAGCTATCATCTCTAGAGACAGAATGGGGTGCCATGGAAAGTAATGAGTTGCTCTTGTGGTTTGTGTCACCCAAAAGTTTATGTGTTGGAATATGGTTGTATTGGGGCGATATCAAGAGGAAACTTAACTGGACTATAGGATTGAGAGGGGGAGACTTTTAGATCAAGATCATCGTGGTGGTGATGGGGGCGCACTCCCATGATAAAAGCCAGGTAGGTGTATAAGGAGAGCATGTGACAGGCACATGGACACAGACACATGCTCACAAGTTCTGCTCTGATCAAGCCCTTGCCGTGTAATCTCCTGTGCTGCCTTGGGATCCCACCAATAAGATCTTCACTGAATGTGGCACCTGGACCTTGAGCTCCAAAACTGTGAGCTAAATAAACCTCTATTTTTTTTTACAGATCTTGCAGTTTCAGCTATTTTAGTTGTTAGCAACACAATGGACTAAAACAATTGTGCACCCCTGGCAGAATTTCATCACAGGGGCAAACAGGTAGGACACAGCATCAGGTGGGCTGCTGGACTCTGTGATGTTTTAAGCCTGTTACCCCCCTTAAGGTGCTGGTGATAACAGGGTATAATAAGGTGTAGTAGAAATGGAGTGGTCAGCAAGGATCGCTGTGCCCTCACCAACTACTTCTCCATCTGTCATCTTCCCTAGTCCTGACGCCTGAGCACACATTCCTACTTTGGACACCTCAAAGGTGGTTCTTCATGACACCTGTCACGCCATCTCTCCCACAATCTTGTGTCAATGGGAACAGCCTGAATTGCTTTTGATGTGCCTTAAAATTGCCTTGATAAAAACAGTGACTGCTCTGGTTCATATCAATGGGGCCAGACTCGATAGACCATGTGAGGACTCAAGCCTGGACCAGAGGGGTCGAGGAGGGAGAGAGGATAAGACACCAAGAACTGATGACAGCATTCCAGTGAGGCTTCCCAGACACAG